CCTCTTCCAGCCTAGGCTGTTTGTATCAACTTTCTCTATCACCCCTCTCCCACCACGCATTCCCTGCAGGCCTGGCGGGCGCCATTGCTCTCCTGGAGCCCATCAAGCAGAAGTACCCTGCTGTCAGCTACGCCGACCTCTTCCAGCTCGCCAGCGCCACGGCTGTCGAGGTGCGTCCGTGCTCGTGCCTCCGCTCATTCTCAGCGTTCGCCAACGCTAGCTTCCACGTACCCACTTGGTTACACAAGGCGGGCTCAGCGGGTTAGATTCACTCAAGCGCAAATGCTCAGTCCGCGAGAGATGCCTCTTGAGACTTGAGTCGACTGCTCAGGGATGTGCAGCCGCTGGGTTACGTGTATAAGGTCATGTGGATGCCTTGTGCATAGATGAGCACAGTCGTGTTGTCTACATGGATGCCTGCGATCTGGTTTTCCTTGTTGTTTCTCTCTGTACGTGTGTGTATCTGCTGCTCCATCAGCTGGCCGGAGGTCCCAAGATCCCCATGAAGTACGGCCGTGTGGACGCCAAGGGACCCGAGGACTGCACTCCGGACGGCACTCTCCCAGGCATGCCCCTGTTCTTCCAGCCCTGTGCTTCATGTGCTCAGCTTCTCGTTGTGCTTCATGTTCATCTGCATGCCCATGTCCATCCCCATCCCCATCCCCATCCCCATCCCCATCCCCATTCCTATCAACATTCGCACCCTCATCTTCCCTCCATCCCCTCGCCCAAATCCACACCTACCCGCTCATCTCCCCACCACCCTCAATGTCCCACCATCGTCAATTTCTACATACCGGGCCCGTGAATTGAACTCTGCCTGTGGTATCCTCCCCTCTTCCCACACCCTCCACCCCACTCCCTCCAACCCCCCTCCCTCCACCCCACCCCCTCCACCCAACTCCCTCCATCTCACTCCGTCCATCCCACCCACTACACCCCACTCCCTCCAATCCCCCTCCCTCCACCCCACCCACTCACCCCCCGCCCTCCACCCCACCCACTCCAACCCATCCCCTCCACACCCCACCCCCTGCACCTTAATCCCTCCCCTCAACAGATGCGGGCCCACCATCCCCTGCTGACCACCTGCGTAAGGTGTTCCACCGCATGGGCCTTGATGACAAGGTGAGTTAAACGCAGTGTGATAAAAAAGCATTGTGATTATATTGGCAAGGTAAGGTGTTTCACCGCATGGGCCTTGATGACAGGGTGAGTGAGAAGCGGTGTGATGATCAAGGGCAATGCTGGTTCCTCGACTTCAGATTCCGAATTCACGCATCTGTTGCCCCTCGACTTACACCATGCGTTCCCTTTCCTTCCTTACGACAGGTCATTGTTCCCTGCCTGGCGTGCACACTTGGCCCTTAAGACTCATGATTCGCCCATGACTTGCACCATGCATGTCGTTCTCTCCTTCCTTATCTCATGGCAGGACATCGTTGCCCTGTCTGGCGTGCACACTCTGTGGCTTAGGACTTGAGATTCACTTTCCCATGTCTGCCCTTTCATCCCTGCTCGTCCTTCCCTCCTTCCTCATGGCAGGACATCGTTGCCCTGTCTGGCGTGCAGCGCACATCCTAAGGGGCGAGAGCTTCGAATTCTTCCATCCATTTCCCCTCCTCGACTTGAACCATGCATATCCCTCCTTCCCTCCTTCCTTCCTTCCTTCCTTCCTTCCTTCCTTCCTTCCTTCCTTCCTTCCTTCCTTCCTTCCTTCCTTCCTTCCTTCCTTCCTTCCTTCCTTCCTTCCTTCCTTCCTTCCTTCCTTCCTTCCTTCCTTCCCTCCTTCCTTCCTTCCCTCCTTCCTTCCCTCCTTCCTTCCTTCCTTCCCTCCTTCCTTCCTTTCTTCCCTCCTTCCTTCCTTCCTTCCTTCCCTCCTTCCTTCCTTCCTTCCTTCCTTCCTTCCTTCCTTCCTTCCTTCCTTCCTTCCTTCCTTCCTTCCTTCCTTCCTTCCTTCCTTCCTTCCTTCCTTCCTTCCTTCCTTCCTTCCTTCCTTCCTTCCCTCCTTCCTTCCTTCCTTCCCTCCTTCCTTCCTTCCTTCCTTCCTTCCTTCCCTCCTTCCTTCCTTCCTTCCTTCCTTCCCTCCTTCCTTCCCTCCTTCCTTCCTTCCTTCCCTCCTTCCTTCCCTCCTTCCTTCCTTCCTTCCCTCCTTCCTTCCTTCCTTCCTTCCCTCCTTCCTTCCTTCCTTCCTTCCCTCCTTCCTTCCTTCCCTCCTTCCTTCCTTCCTTCCCTCCTTCCTTCCTTCCTTCCTTCCCTCCTTCCTTCCTTCCCTCCTTCCTTCCTTCCTTCCTTCCTTCCTTCCTTCCTTCCTTCCTTCCTTCCTTCCTTCCTTCCTTCCTTCCTTCCTTCCTTCCTTCCTTCCTTCCTTCCTTCCTTCCTTATGGCAGGACATCGTTGCTCTGTCTGGCGCACACACCCTGGGCCGTGCTAGGCCAGAGAGGAGCGGATGGGGCAAGGCAGAGACCAAGTACACGGTGAGTGAGATGTACGAGGGGTGTTGGTGCTGGGTGTGCTGTTGGTGCTGCTGGGAGTAGTGGTGGTGCCAACGAAAGCTGAAAGCTGTTAATCCACTGGAGAGGAGTGGGTGGGGCAAGGCAGAGACCAAGTATACGGTGAGTGAGATGTATGAGACGTCTCAAAACACTTCTTCATACACAAGGCACAGAGACCAAGTATACGGTGAGTGAGATGTTTGATTGGTGCAGGTGCTGGGTGAGTTGTGAGGCGCCTTGGAATCAAGCACAGTGGGAGAAACGAGGGGTGCTGGTGGTGGTGTTTGTAGGAGGGATGCCGGGTGTGCTGTTGGTGGTGCTGGGTGTGCTGTTGGTGGAGCTGGGTGTGCGGGGTGTGTTGGGGGGGCAAGCTGTAAGTTGGCCAAAGAGGAGTAGGTACGGCAAGGAGGAGACCACAACACCTTGCTTCACCATGCCCCGGGATCTTGACACTGTCACAAAAGACGTGCACCATGCTATCAACTTCCTGGGAGTTTTGACACTGGTCAACATACACGCTTCGCACCATGCTTGAAGGTGCCTCACGTTGAGAATGCATGCTTTGGAACAGCATAGCACGCTGGCACCAGCCGCCACTCTCAACTCCCCTCCTCTCTCCTCGACCCCTCTCCCCCGCTCCGCCACTTCTCTCTCGCCTTCACTCACACACATCCTCTCCTCCCCCCTCCTCGCCTCATCCCCTCTCCCCCCCCCCCTTGCAGAAGGACGGTCCTGGTGTGCCTGGCGGCCAGTCCTGGACGGTGGAGTGGCTGCGATTCGACAACTCCTACTTCACAGTGAGTGCACACCCCCTTCCCTTCCCACCCCTGCTATGGCCCCATGTCTCCGCCTGGGCCTACGGCCTGCCTTGGCTTAGAGGCTGCTTCCTCTGCTCCGCCTGACAGTCAGTCCTGGACCGCGGAGTGGCTTCGATTTGACAACTCCTACTTCACAGTGAGTGCGCCTGGCCCTTCTTTGCCTTGGTTTCCTGTTACCCTTTCTTTAAAAGTAGCCTGCTATGCTCTGCCTGGCGGCCAGTCCTGGACCGTGGAGTGGCTGCGATTTGACTGCACTGCCAGGCACTGAGGGGGCACTGCCTCTACCGATTGCCGCTCTCTCTCCCCCATTCAACATACGCAAATGCTGCTCCATTTGCATCTCCACCTCCCCCTTCCCCCCCCTTCCTCTCCACCCCCCCGTCTCTACCCCTCACTCTCTCACCCACCCCCATCACCCCTCCATCAAGGAGAGGACGGACGCGGAGCTACTGGTGCTGCCGACAAAAGCTGAGAAGCTCTCTGCTGGGCTGGGCTCAACCCAATGCTGCCCCCTCTCCCCCCTCCCTCACCACCCTTCAGGACATCAAGGAGAAGACGGACGCGGAGCTGCTGGTGTTGCCGACAGACGCCGCCCTGTTTGAGGACGCGGGCTTCAAGGTGTATGCAGAGAAGTACGCTGCCGACCAGGCGGCTTTCTTTGCCGACTATGCCCAGTCCCACAAGAAGCTTAGCGAGCTGGGAGCCAAGTTCGACCCCCCCCAGGTGAGGCGTTCTCCTTCAGGTGACGCATTCCCCCCAGTGAGAGAATTCCCCCCCAGGTGAGGCATTACCCCTAGGTTAGCTAATCCAACAGACCAGGCGGCCTTCTTTGCCCACTATGCGCAGTCGCACAAGCAGCTCAACGAACTGGGCGCCAAGTTAGACCCCCCCAGGTGAGGCCTCTTCCTCTGGGTGAGCCATTTTTCCTCTTCCTCTTCCTCTTCCTTTTCCAGGTAAGGTAATCCCACAGACCATGTTTGAACATCCCCGGGTGAGGCATTCCGAACTCTGTTTTGCATCTGCCTTTACTGCTGTTTTGTCTCCATCTTGGCACCCGCTGACCCCTCTTGGCACCCTTTGCTTCATTGTGCATGCAGGGTGTGACCCTTGACTAAGCTGGCAGCAGGATTAGCGATTTGCTGTAAAAATCTGTATCAGGAATTGTAGTTTGAAATATACGGAGTGTTTTAAAAAAGCTGAAACTTGGTAGAAACAGATTGGTAAATTCGCAAGCATGAAATGCACAGAGGACAACCTTGCCCACTTCAAGTGCTGACGTTACAGTATCACTCATTCACAAGAAGCAGTTGCTCTAAGTTACAAATAAAGAGATAATAGAGGAAGGCCAGATCTACACCACACCACCCAGCTCTCTAAGTTACAAATAAAGAGATGTTACAGTCTCCAAGCCAGCTCCAGTGAGCATAAACCAATTTGAAAAGCTCCCACCCCACTGCTCTATTTCCACCTGCTGACCAGAGCCACTTGCTGTTAAGCACAGATAATAATAATTCAGTGAGACAGTAACCCGTTCCAGCCTCTATGTGTACAATCTCTGAGCTCGCTCCAACGTGGCATCCCCCAATCGGAAGAGCTCTGGGTGGGTGGTCAGATCGCACATGCTGACAGCGTCTATGCTGACATGCTGACACAAATCATAACTCAGTGACCCATTCCATATCAGCCTCTATGTGTACAATCTCCGAGCTCGTTCCAGGGTGGCATCCACCAATCGGAAGAGCTCTGGCTGCTCTGATTCCACCTGCTCCAATGGCATCGCCTCGTGTGCTTCCGCCTGCAGCCCAAAGGGAGGAAGCAGGAGATTACAGGGCGAGAATTTTGAGTTTGAGATGTCTCGTTTTGAGACGTCTTGTTTTAAGACGTCTCGTTTTGAGACGTCTCGTTTTGAGACGTCTCAAAACAAGGGAGGAAGCAGGAGATTGCAGGGCGAGAATTTTGAGGCATATGCTGATCCTGTATTGTACTGTTATGAAAATAAGATCTGGTAAGATTTCTGAAAGAAAGTCCAAGAAACCTCTTCCGAGCGGCCGAGCGAGCGAAGGTACAGCGAACGAGATGTATTGTGTGCGTACCTCGTCAAATGTGAAGAGAACGAGATTGTCAATGGTGGGAGGGAGAGCCGCATTCCACCTGCCACACAGCCACCACACAGGCCAAGAATGGTGGCTCCATTGAATCCATGAGTGAAACAAACATATTTGGGGACCACAGAGGAAAGGCTTTTCAAGATCACCTGGTGAGATTCATGTGCCCCATGGACTGCCAAAATTTTAAAAGAGACTCCAGAGTGACCCCAGAAGTGACCCCAGAAGTGACCCCAGAAGTGATCCCAGAAGTGAACCCAGAAATGACCCCAGAAGTGACGCCAACACACCTGGTAAGAGTCATGTGTCCCATGGACCTCCAGATCGCTCGTCCAATATCCATGCCTCCTCCTCCCCCATTTCCTCCTCTCCCTCCAATTCCACCACCAACCCCATTTCCTTCACCAGCAGATTTCACAGCCCGTTTTCTACGCTCCTCCTTCTTCCTCTGCTGCTGCTGCCTGCTCCTTCCCTGCTCCTGAGTGCCATTCTCCTGCCTCCTCTCCTCTCTCTGCTCATCTTCTCGTTGCTCCTCCGCCTTTTGTCCATTTCCCAGATTCTGCTCCCTTGTGCCCCCCTCACTTTCTCCCTGCTCCTGAGTGCCCCCTGCAATTTCTCCCTGCCCCTGGATCTCCTCCCCTTCCTCACCCTCCTCTCGCTTCTCTCCCCGTGTCTTCTCCTCCTCCTGTGACCCAACATTGCCCTCGCCTTCGCCCGAGTGGCCGTGAAGAAGCTTCTCAGCAGCTTCCTTCTCCCGAAGATGCTGCCACGCGCTGCGGCCGCGCCACACCTCCCTCACCACAAACATGACGTCATCCATGTCCACCTGTGCACACGTGGACATATGGATAGGGATATGGGCACTTTCGGGATGTTACATGAGAACTTTCAAAAGCCACATCACTTGCAAATGACCAGGGGGCACAAACATGACATCATCATTGTCCACCTGTGCTCATACACACATGCACACATGCACACATGCACACATGCACACATACACACATGCACACATACACACATGCACACATACACACATACACACATACACACATGCACACATACACACATACACACATACACACATGCACACATACACACAAACACACATGCACACATACACACATACACACATACACACATACACACATACACACATACACACATGCACACATACACACATACACACATACACACATACACACATACACACATGCACACATGCACACATGCACACATGAACACATACACACATACACACATACACACATGCACACATACACACATACACACATACACACATACACACATGCACACATGCACACATACACACATACACACATGCACACATGCACACATACACACATGCACACATTCACACATGCACACATACACACATACACACATACACACATACACACATGCACACATGCACACATACGCACATGCACACATGCACACATGCACACATGCACACATGCACACATGCACACATGCACACATACACACATACACACATGCACACATACACACATGCACACATGCACACATGCACACATACACACATCCACACATGCACACATGCACACATACACACATACACACATGCACACATGCACACATACACACATACACACATGCACACATGCACACATACACACATACACACATGCACACATGCACACATGCACACATACACACATACACACATGCACACATGCACACATGCACACATACACACATGCACACATGCACACATGCACACATGCACACATGCACACATGCACACATGCACACATGCCCACATACACCACATCCACACATCCACACATCCGCACATACACACATGCAGACATGCACACAAGCACACATACACACATACACACATACACACATGCACACATGCACACATGCACACATGCACACATGCACACATGCACACATGCACACATGCACACATGCACACATACACACATGCACACATGCACACATGCACACATGCACACATGCACACATGCACACATGCACACATGCACACATGCACACATGCACACATGCACACACACACACACATGCACACATGCATACATACATGCACACATGCACACATGCACACATGCACACATGCACACATGCACACATGCACACATGCACACATGCACACATGCACACATGCACACATGCACACATGCACACATGCACACATGCACACATGCACACATGCACACATGCACACATGCACACATGCACACATGCACACATGCACACATGCACACATGCACACATGCACACATGCACACATGCACACATGCACACATGCACACATGCACACATGCACACATGCACACATGCACACATGCACACATGCACACATGCACACATGCACACATGCACACATGCACACATGCACACATGCACACATGCACACATGCACACATACACACATGCACACATACACACATGCACACATACACACATGCACACATGCACACATGCACACATGCACACATGCACACATGCACACATCACACATACACACATGCACACATGCAGACATACACACATCCACACATCCACACATACACACATGCACACATGCACACATACACACATACACACATGCACACATGCACACATGCACACATGCACACATGCACACATGCACACATGCACACATACACACATACACACATCCACACATGCACACATGCACACATGCACACATACACACATGCACACATGCACACATGCACACATGCACACATACACACATACACACATGCACACATGCACACATGCACACATGCACACATGCACACATGCACACATGATACACACATGCACACATGCACACATGCACACATGTACACATGCACACATGCACACATGCACACATGCACACATACACACATGCACACATGCACACATACACACATACACACATGCACACATACACACATACACACATACACACATGCACACATACACACATGCACACATGCACACATGCACACATACACACATGCACACATGCACACATGCACACATGCACACATGCACACATACACACATGCACACAACACACATGCACACATACACACATACACACATGCACACATGCACACATGCACACATACACACATACACACATACACACATACACACATACACACATACACACATACACACATGGACACATACACACATACACACGTGCACACATACACACATACACACATGCAAACATACACACATACACACATGCACACATACACACATACACACATACACACATACACACATGCACACATGCACACATGCACACATACACACATGCACACATACACACATACACACATGCACACATGCACACATGCACACATGCACACATGCACACATGCACACATGCACACATGCCATGCACACATGCACACATGCACACATGCACACATGCACACATGCACACATGCACACATACACACATACACACTATGCACACATGCACACATGCACACATACACACATACACACATCCACACACATGCACACACATGCACACATACACACATGCACACATGCACACATGCACACATGCACACATGCACACATGCACACATGCACACATGCACACATGCACACATGCACACATGCACACATGCACACATGCACACATACACACATGCACACATGCACACATGCACACATGCACACATTACACACATACACACATGCACACATGCACACATGCACACATGCACACATGCACACATGCACACATGCACACATGCACACATGCACACATACACACATGCACACATGCACACATGCACACATGCACACATGCACACATGCACACATGCACACATGCACACATGCACACATGCACACATGCACACATGCACACATGCACACATGCACACATGCACACATGCACACATGCACACATGCACACATGCACACATGCACACATGCACACATACACACATGCACACATACACACATACACACATGCACACATGCACACATACACACATGCACACATACACACATACACACATACACACATACACACATACACACATACACACAGATACACGCATGCACACATGCACACATGCACACATGCACACATGCACACATACACACATACACACATGCACACATACACACATACACACATACACGCATGCACACATGCACACATGCACACATGCACACATGCACACATACACACATACACACATGCACACATGCACACATACACACATACACACATGCACACATGCACACATGCACACATGCACACATGCACACATGCACACATACACACATACACACATACACTCAGATGAGGATTTTGGAACAATTACACAAGCACGTGCGCCCATGCTCCTCCTACTCTCCACCAGCCTTTGGAGAAGCAGATAGAATGGCAACACTCAGCCCCTCCCCCCTCTACACACCTTACCGCCACACGCACACAACCCCACATGAGCGTACCACACATACTCCCTCCCACTCACTCATCCACACACACTGACCTCCACCTCCTGAGCCGATCCAAACCGCATCTCCTCCCTCTCCACCAGCCTCTGATGCAGCAGCGAGTAGTGGTCTGCACTTAGCCTCAACACCGGTTCGAACCCCACGTCCATTCCGGCCAATGAGGTGACGACACGTGTCGCCAGCGCCAGGCCAAACATGGCTGGTATGGTTCCCAGGACAGGGATGACTCTAACACGGAACCCTGGGACCACCTGTAACGAGTATGGACAAATGGGGAGTGGAGCAGGAAAAAAGATGATATGAGCTGTGTATCTCGTGGCAATCTGATGTGAAGATTACCAGCTGCAACAAGTACGACGATAAAGGTTTGTACTTTACTTTGATAAGTAAAAAAGGAAAGAAATGAAAAGGAAAATCACAAGTCCAGCACAAAAATCAAAAGGAGAACCTGGGGAGCAACCTGAAAAGCACCTGAACATCACCTGGCTGGAGGTCAGCCGGCTGCAAGGAGTCGTCAGCCACGGGCAGCAGCTTGGCCTTGGGGCGGTCTAGGGAAAACGCCGCCTCCACTGCTGCTGCTTCCCCCAGCGCCTTGATTTGAGACTGCTCATACATTCACTATACCTGAAAATCAGCAGGCTGAAGAGAATCATCAGCCACGGGCAGCAGCTTGGCCTTGGGGCGGTTGAGAGAAAACACCGCCTCCACTGCTGCTGCTGCCGCTGCTGCTGCTGCTGCTGCTGCTGCTGCTGCTGCTGCTGCTGCTGCTGCTGCTGCTGCTGCTGAACCCAGCACCTTGCTCCTAAGGAGCAAGAGAAAGACTGCGCGCCTCACAACATCACTCACCTGGAGGTCAGCAGGCTGCAAGGAGTCGTGAGCCACGGGCAGCAGCTTGGCCTTGGGACGATCCAGAGAAAACACCGCCTCCACTGCTGCTGCCGCTCCCAGCGCCTTGCGAAGCCGCTGCCGCACCTGCACAGGTGAGTTGGATTGAATGGTGACTAACTGATGTATGCTCGCATGTGTCAAGTGTGTCCATATGTATTCATGTTATGTCAAGTGTGTCTATATGTATTCATGTTTACAAACATACATTGTATACTTGGTGGGTGGCTAGGTGGGCAGGTGGGAGGCTAGGTGGGGTGGCTAGGTGGGTGGTTAGAGGGGCGGGCGGGTGGTTACCGTACCGCACGAGAGAGAGGGTGGATGGACGACTCGCTGATGTCGGCGATTCGGATGCGGGTGGGGTCGGCACAAGCACTCGCACGCACCCATGGGCCATGGCATGGCAATGATGACAGGCGAAACTCTCAGCAATGAGAGGAGGGCGCAGTTGAGCAATGGTCAGTGGCTCACCGCACGAGAGAGAGGGTCGATGGACGACTCGCTGATGTCAGCGATGCGGATGCGAGTGGGGCCGGCACGACCAAGAAAGGGTGCGTGCAGCAGGTGAGGGGTTGGCTGGGTGGGTGAGTGGGTAGTTGCCTCACCGCACGCGAGAGAGGGTCGATGGATGACTCGCTAATATCAGCAATGCGGATGCGAGTGGGGTCGGCACGGGCACCTGCCCCCATGGCGCTGATGACAGGCAGGCCGCGGCGCACACAGGCTGAGAGCAGAGCCACCTACAGGAGAAGAAAAGAGAAGCAGGAGGTCTTGAGGGCGTTGGGGACTGTTGGGGTGACGGCAATTTGGATGCGAGTGGGGTCCGCCCGAGCGCCAGCCCCATGGCACTGATGACCAGCAGACCGCAGCGCACACAGGCTGAGAGCAGCGCGACCTGTGAAAGACCAGACCAGGGAGAGACGGGGCATGGAAGACAGTTGTGGTCGAAGAAGTCTTGAAGCCTTGGGGTCGTGGGGCCTTGTGTTGTGGCGCTGCTGGGGCCTTGTTGACTGCTGTGCTGCTGTCACTGCTGCAACCCCTGTCTGGCCCCATGGCACTGATGTGATGACAGGCATGCCCTGGCGCACACAGGCTGAGAGCAGAGTCACCTCGATTCGATTCACTTCTATTACATTTGATTTGATTCGATTCGAACCTTTGTGTCGATGTTATCGATGCAGTCCACAACGTAGTCGGGCTGCCCGGACAAAAATTTCTCCTCGTTCTCCTCCGTGTACATGGCTGTCATTCCCTCCACTAGCGCTTCGGGCAGAATGCGAAGGAAATGCTCTCTCATGCATTGCGCCTTGGAGATTCCAACATCTGCCCGCGTGGCAACAGCATGGCGATTGAGAGATGACAGTGACACCTGTGGGATAACAGTTGGGGGAAAAAGGGGGTGAGGCAGAGGGGAGGAAGAAACGCTCCCTCATTCACTGCGCCTTGGAAATACCCACGTCTGCCCGCGTGGCAACAGCGTGGCAATTAAGCGAGGATAGCGACACCTGTTGAGTAAAGAAAGTTGGGGAGGGTGGGGGGAGATGAGGGGGGGAAGAGGAGGAGAGGTGGCGATTATGCTCTCTCATGCACTGAGCCTTGGAGATTCCCACATCTGCTAGCGTGGCAGCAACAGGTCAATTCGAGTCATTGCCAGTCAACCCAAGTCAAGCAGAGTCAACAGGGTCAATGGAGATCAACGGTACCTGGTCAAAGTCAACGAGTCTCAGCCTGCCAACGCCACATCTCAGCAGCGCGGCAGCAGCATGGCTGCCCACCCTTCCCAGCCCCACCACCACCACAAACACCGCCCAGTCAATCCCAGTCAATCCCAGTCAATCCCAGTCAATCCCAGTCAATCCCAGTCAATCCCGGTCAACCAGAGTTAACCCAAGTCAACAGGGTCAACGGTACCTGGTCAAAGTCGACGAGTCTCAGCCGGCCAACGACACATCTCAGCAGAGCAGCAGCAGCATGGCCCCCCATCCCCCCCAGCCCCACCACCACCACAAACGCCACCCAGGCAATCCCAGTCAACCCGAGTCAACCCAAGTCAACCAGATTCAACCCAAGTCAACCAAAGCCAATGCACCTGGTCAAAGTCAACGAGTCTCAGCCGGCCAACGCCACACCTCAGCAGCGCGGCAGCAGCATGGCTGCCCACCCCCCCCAGCCCCACCACCACCACAAACGCCCTGTGCACTGCCAGCTGGCCGGGCAGACCAAACATTTGAATGTTCCTGCCCGGCAACGATGAGGGGAAGGGGGAGAGGTGAAGGAAGGTCAGTGAGGAAGGAAAGTGGGGGAAGAAGGGGGAAAGGAAGGGAGGGGGGTGAGGGGGGGGGAGAGCGAAAAGGAGGGGGAAGAGAGTGGGGTCGAGTGGGAATAGGGCAGTGATGTAAAACCAGGAAATTATACGAAAGTATGGAATTGCTTAAAAAATGAGCTTAGTTGGTGGAGATAGAAAGCTCAGAAACAGAAATGGGCGTGCTTATAATGAAGGTGCTTAAAACGCGTGCCTGGTGAACTGCTCCACGATGATGTCATCATCAGCCGCTGCCAGGCTGGCAAGATCCTGGCCATCCAATCCACCACTGCCACGTGCCTCCCCCCCACCAGCAGGTTCGTGACTGCTAGAACCGTGCAGCGACTCGGGTGGACGAGATATTCCTGTGGCAGCAGGAGCTGGGTCAGCATCAGGTGATTTTTCAGGTGGTTTCAGGTGCTGCTCGTGAAGCTGTTTCTCCTGGTACTGGTCCTGGTGGCTCGGCCCCTGCTCCTCTGCTTCTGCACCTAAAGACGCGAGACCTGCATGGCCATCGTTACAACTGGAAAGGGGGAAGAAAGGACGGGAAGTAAATAAAAAGATGGATAAAACAGAGACGAAAGGATAAAAAACCTCCCAAAATTTCTCTGAAATGCGGAAAGACGTGCGGGAGTGAGGTGACTTTTGAGTCGACCCACAGGTGGGTGTCATGTCATGTCACCCCTCAATCCGCAGTTCCCACGGTGTGAGACGCGACTGATGGGATGCGACGGATGGGATTCGACAAATGGGATTAGACGGATGCGATGCGACAACGAAACCGCCGGGCGCGCAACAAATCGCACTGGGCGACATCAAATAAGCAAACTAGCAAGACTAACAAGTCGACTGGAACTAACGTGAGCTGTCCCCGATCCGATACTAACGTAATTTCAGGCGGCTCGTCAGCAGAGTAGACAGAATATAGCTTCCAAGCGCAAAGCGCGGCGCACGAGCCGGCAGCAGCTCCCAGAGCGAAGGTCGCCCACGGCGACCTAAAAAGCCTCATGGCGAATAGCGAATTCTATACAAACGAGGACAACCACATGAGGAGGACCCAGCCACATGCGGGAATGGACAGGGTCGCAGCAGGCGACTACATGAATGACGGCGACGTTCGCTCAAAACAGAACGGCATGATGGACCACACGACCGAGCAGCGAACCAAAAAAAACCAGCAGCGTAGTATGCACGCGCCGCAATGGTGTCGAATGGATCCTGATTGAGGTGGCGGTTTCTCGTGCAAAAGCAAAACTGGTAGGGAATGTGCAGTTGAATGTGGAGGTGAGGGGTATCGATCCCCTTACCTATCGCATGCGAAGCGATCGCTCTACCATGTGAGCTACACCCCCGTGTCATCTTTTGACTTCAAAAAAACAAATTATAAATAAGACAACTTCAAAAAAACAACTTATAAACAACTTACCATTCGCCACTCCCCTCACTCGAGAGCCGCACCTGCCCCACAGCCTCGAAGCAACGACTGAAGGCGGGGAAATGCAATGCCTTTGTGAGGTAGTCAGCAGGCTGCTCGCTCGTAGGGATGTACTGCAGCTGCAGCTTCCTGCGCTTGACCATGTGCTGCAGCCACATGTGACGACGCTCCATGTGCTTGAGGCTCCCCTTGAGCCCCATGCCACCTGCCACTGAAATGGCGGAGGATTTGTCCACAAAGAGAGTCGTGGGCTCCTCACTCCTCAGCAGTTGAAACTCTGCCAGCAGGAAGCGCAGCCTGCGCGCCTCCTTCCCAGCCTCCACAGCAGCAACGTACTCAGACTCAGTGGAGGAAAGGGTGGCGCAACGAATCCGCTGGCTCGCCCATGAGACAGCAGCACCCCCGAGCACGAAGACATAGCCACCTGTGCTGGTCCTGTTCTGCTTGTCCCCTGCATCATCAGCATCGGCGTAGCCCACCAGCTCCAAGGACTCCGGCCCACCACCAAACTCCAGCGCCACATCCCTGCTCCCCACCAAGTACGTCAAGCACCGGTCCAACTCCTTCCAGTGCTGATCACTCCGCACAGTCTGGCCCGACCCCAGCTTGCTGCAGGCGAACGAGATGTCGGGACGGGTGGTACAGGCCGCGAACTGCAAGGATCCCACCTTCTGCCTGTACTCCTCCTCCTGGCGAGACTGCCATCCCACATCCTCGAAGGTCTGCACACTGAAAGGGTCAGAGGAAAGAGGGGTGCGAGGCACTCGCAGCGGCTGCTCCCCGTCAAAGAAGCGCCTATGGACCTTGTCCACATAGGCCCCCTGGTGCAGCCACAGCCTCCTCGTGGGCCTGTCCCGAATCAGCTGCAACCCCAGATATTTCTCCACAGGGCTAATCTCCCGCAGCTGAAAGGCACTCTGCAGCAGGTCACGCAGCTCCGCTAGCATGCTCTGACTGCGGCTGGCAGCAAGCAGGTCATCCACATACACCAGCAGCCAGCACATCTCCCCCTCAGCATCAGTCTTGAAGTACAGAGCATCATCCACCTTGCTCTTCTTCCATCCAGCCCCAAGCAGCACCCCATCCAAGGCCTCATACCATAGCATCGGGCTCTGCTTGAGCCCATACAGACTCTTCACCAACTTACAGACACGAGGATTCCCATCCTCGTAGTAGCTCGGCTGCTCCATGTAAAGGTCTCGGTCCAGCACGCCATGGAGGAACGCGTTCTTCACATCGAGCTGCATCAGGTCCAAATCAAGTGCAGCTGCAATCGCCAGAAGCACACGCGCCGTCACATAGCTTCCCACAGGGGCGTACGTCTCCTCATAGTCCACCCCTGCCACCTGCGTGAACCCCTTCACCACCAGCCTCGCCTTCTCACGCTCCACTATCCCATCAGGTCGGAACTTGGTGTTCAAAATCCAGCGGTTCTTCATCACATTCACCCCTGGCGGACGCGGAACCAACTCCCACGTCCCTTGCTCAATCAAGCTCCGCATCTCCTCATCCATCGCCTCCTTCACCTTGTCTCCCTTCCAGCAGCCCAAGGCCTCCTTCACTGTCATTTTCGCTATGTCCCACTGCCTCTCAGGATCAGCTGCCACGTCCGGGTCCAGGTTAGTCCACTCCTCGTCCTCCTCCTCGTCATCCAAGCCCGCTGGCTCAACCACTACAGCCCAAGCGTATCGAACAGGCGGGACACCACGAGTGATGCGAGTGGAGCGACGCAGTGGTGCAGTGGTCGTCCCAGAAACCAACACACGACCACCATCTCTAATTCCCCACATCTCCTGCTCCCCTGTCTGCTGCTCCCCAATCTGCTGCTCCCCTGTCTGCTGCTCCCCTGTCTCCTGCCCCCCACTCTGCTGTACTCCATCCATACTGCTCTCGTCCTGCAGCTGCTCAGTCTCAAGGCGCTGCCCGTCGGTGATCTCCACAGACGGTGGCACCTCCATCCCCCCCTCACCAACGGGCGGCGCCGTGGAAGACGAAGAAGAGGGCGGAGCAGGTGCAGGAGGGATGGAGGGTGGAAGGGGAGATGGAATAACAGGAGGAGGAGGGGAAGCCAAGGGGGGTGAGGAGGAAAAAGGAGGGGCAGGGGGAATCACACGAGGGTAGACTGAAGGCGGAGGTGGGGTGGGGACCGAGGTAGGGACATAGGGCATAGCAGGAGGTGCGACCACCTCCTCCTCCTCCTCCGCCTCCTCGAGAGTGATCGGGAAGAGTGAGGGAAGGGGCTCATAGGGCATCGAACGCCCCCCATGCTCCTGCTGATGCCAAGCCTTCCATCCTGCTAGGGACATGGTCTCATAGAACACAGCTTCCACAGTGGTGATGAGGCGGTTGGACTCCAAGTCCAGCACGGCCCAGCCCTTGCTCGCAGCTGACACACCCAAGTGCAACCCCCAGCGAGCCTTAGGCGCCAGCTTCCCCCCATGCTGCGACTGTGGTACCATGTACTGCAGCATGCAGCCCCAAACACGCACCATACTGACATCAGGTTTGCGTCGGAAGGCGAGCTCGTACGGCGTCACACCAGAGGGTAGTGAGGCGTGCTCCACGCGGTTGCGCACCCAGACGGCCTGAGCCAACGCCAGGTGCCACCAGTGATGCTGCACACCCATGTGTAGCAACATCGTCCGCACCGCCTCCACAATTCTGCGCATCTCCCTCTCGGCCATCCCGTTCTGCTCCGGCGTGTACGGGCATGTGAGGTCATGGATGATGCCTTTACCGTCGAGGAAGAGCGTGAAGGCGTGCCCCAGGAACTCGCCACCCCGATCAGTGCGCAGCGCCTGCACCGTGGTCTTGCACTGTCGCTCTGCCATCGGGAGCCACTTCTGGAACGCCGCCAGCGCATCACTCTTCTGGGCCAAAGGGTAGGCCCAGACATATCGCGTCTTGCGATCCTTCAGCACCAAGAAGTAGCGGCTGCCGTCCTTAGCTGCTTCACGGAAAGGGCCACACAGGTCAGCATGCACCACCCCGAGCAACTCATCCTCCTCCTCTCCCACAGAAGGAAAGGTATGACGAGTGATCTTTCCCCCAACACAGGAGACACAAGGTATGCCTGACTTGCCCCCCTTCTCCAAATCCAAGCCCTTCACTGACCCGTGAGCCGCTGTGCGCTCGATGGCATCAATACCAACGTGTGCCATACGCGCATGCCACAGGTCCCCCTTAGACCGTACGCCCGTCGCCAAGGTACGAAGTGCCACCGTTTCGCCTTCCTGCTGCTGCGTCGAACACGGCTGGAAGTTCGTGCAGAGAACACACCCCTTGAACTCCGTACGACCAAGGAGCGATCCATCTGGTGCCCTCAGCAAAGTCACATCCCCGGCATCCAGCAGCTGCACACCACTATCACGCAGCTGCCCAGCAGAGAGAAGACTCGCCTGCACTCCTGGTACGTACAGCACGTCCGGCACCAAGACACGCCTGCCCCCCTCCCCAAGAAGAGCGACTGTGCCTCGCCCCTGCACCTCCTGAAGGGCGCCGTTGAAGCCGGTAACCTGCTTAATGCTGCCGCCGCTGCTCATCTCCACAAAGGCAGAACGATCTCCCATGAGATGGTGGGAGCATCCGCTATCAAGCAGCACGACGCTCGGGTTCGCCTTCACAGCAGCTGCAACAGCCTGTAAGCCCTCCCCGGCCTCAGGCTCTAGCACAACGAGAGGAGTCTGCTCCACAACTGGCTTCACCATCGCACATGATGACTGCCCGCTCCCCTTAGAGCCATCACCCCCCTTTCCGCTGCTACCTCCAGAACCCTCTCCACCGGTGTCTGCCTCCTTATCCGCCCGCTGCTGACAGTACTTAGCAACATGCCCTATTTGTCCACACACATAGCACTTCCCCTTGAAGCCCCCTTTCCCCCCCTTTGGCTGGCCATCCTTACCCCCTTTCCACTTCTCCCCTCCCCCACCAACCCCACCCCCAGTCTTAGGCTGCTGCTGCTGTGCCGTAGTGGGAGGGGAAGGGAATGAAGTCTGCTGGAATTGGGGCTTACCCTTCTTGGTAAAGACCTGGTTAGCCTGGGGAAGGAATTGGTCCTTTCGTCCCTCCGCCGCCAGCGTACATTCCTCCTCGATGATGTAGCTAGCGAGGGTGTCTTCGTCCAACTCCTTGCGCACCTGCGGCAACTTCAGCATCCTGCGTAAGAGGTTGTACTGCTGCGGCAACCCCTTCACAACGTGAGTAATGTACGACGCCTGCGAGTAATCTACGCCGGCCATCCTCAGGTTCACTAGGATCTGCTGCGCATGGTTGCAATAGGACGTAGCGGACTCATGCTCTCCCATCTCGAGGTTAGTGAGCGCCTGCTCTAGCTGACCTATGTACAGGTCGTCCTTCGCCATATACGTGCGCATGATAAACTGCCATGCCTGAAAGCCGGCATCTACCTTGAAGCGGCACGCCTTAAGGGCGATTTGTACGGTTGGGGAGCAGCATCGGGAAATGGTGGTGAACGTTAGCAACTGCATCGCGCGGAACTGAGAGAGATGTGCAAGTGCACGCGCTGGTGGAATGGGAGTGGTGCCATCTATGAATCGCTTTAACTGAGCGATCTCAAGCTGCGGCTCGATCGATTCTGTCCACGTCGACAGGTCGTGACGTCCTTCTAATGGCCTAGGGACGACGATCTTGTCTGGAATGAATTTGAAGAAGCCATAGTTGGGGGCTATTCCCTCGTCCCTCGACATCGATCCAATCGGGGTAACGCCCGGCATAGCCTCACTATCGTACTCTTCCGCATTTCCTCCTCCAGCAACGCTCCGCCGTCCTACATTCGCATGCTCTCGTGACGCTGCTGCACGATGAACACGCTCCTGTACACCGCCGACGCTAGCCGTACTAAACCGAGTTGGTCCTCGCAGGACCCCACGCGACATCAACCCATCAAGCTCCTCGTCATCGCTATTTCCGCCATCGCCAAGCATATCCCACGCACTAGTACCTCCCGCAGCTTGCTCAACATTCTCTACATGTGGCGAGGGATGGTCGCGACGCTGACGAGAGCGTAATCCCTCCATCATGAGCTCGTATTCTAGATCACTAAGCTCACCACGAGAATGACGGGCCTCGAGATCCTCCTCTAGTGCGCGAAGACTACCGGCCTCCACGTTCGTCTCCTCCGTACTCATCCTCTACGACGTCTCTACAAGGTACCACAAATTAAAATAAATTGTCCCTTCCTTGAATCCCTCGCCTCGGGGTCACCTCACAAGGGTCCTCAGACGAATGGTAATAAATTACCAAGCGCCCTATCCTTGGGTCCGAGAACGTAACTGGAGGGAAATTAAGAGAGGTTCAACTTAAATTAATGAGCGCCCTTCACTAACGCCGCACGCCAAGGCGAGTATACTAACGAACGTCGACGGAAATCTATGCGTGTTCGTTCCACGCTCACCGCACCATGAAGGAATATATTAGAGAGCGTAGCGATAGCGAGAGAGTCTCTGCTATGGGAATGATGTTGTGCCAGCAACTTGGTAGAGTTTTGGTAGCGTTTGCCTCTAAGGACTTTGTGAGAATTGAAGTAGCATTTGGGCCAAGTAGAATTGCAATATCAATTATCAAACACACAAGCAAACAAAAACATATATAGGCAAGCAAGAGTTGCACAATTGTTGCGTGGCGCTGCGAGTAACCCAACCCACACGAAAGTGCTGTGCAGGTGGGTGAACGCGCCCCGCACATTTCCAACCCAACTCGGCACCGGAATGTCTCACCGTGCACGCTACTCCTGCCAGCACAGCAAGTGAGCAGCGTGCCTCACAAGCAAGGCACCTACGACCCCCAAGACTCGTCATTCCTAGCACCGATTCCGCCGAGTTCGCTGCAGTAGCTCACAGTCACCCGTAGTCACTAATGACCGCCACCGAACTCGTGCGTCGGTGCCGAGTAGACTCAGTCGTTAGGCGCCGACCTGCCAAGTCAAAGGTCATCGAGGGCCCTTGCTGTCGTAGGGCCCTCTAACACGTATTACCAAAGGAATCTGCTCGTCTAACCAAAAGAGTCCGGTCCTCCAAGTTTTGGGGTGTCCCGGAACTTGTGAAGGAACCTGATCGGCCCAGGTTCTTGCCAAACGCGAAGGCACGGACGGCTGACAGAGAGTGAGAGCTGCTTGATAACGAGAGCTGACGGAAAACTGAGGTTGACGGGAGCGGAGCAGGCATCGCAAGATGGCGGATGGCGGCCCCGTCGGATCAACGGCTAGCGATTGTGGCTTCTGGTGTCTGGTTACCAGTCGCCGGTTCGCGGAGGCTGTTTCGTCGCTGGCGAAGCCGAGAGACGTGGTGCTGCGGCCCAAGGAGGAGCAGGATATGGTGGGGTTCGGATGGCGGGAGATTCTGGGGTTGAAGGACAAGTCTCAGGGGAACGCTGAGCTTGCTGCTGAGACGCATCAGGTAAGCCGATGCGCGTATGATTCTTCTGGTGCTGGAACCAAGGATGAGCGGGAGTGGGCGGGATGTAAGGCTCTTGGCCCAATGTGCTCACTTCCTTCCTGCCTCCTGCCTTGCTTCCTGTCCCATTCTCAGGTGTACTACGTCACGAATCGGGTGTGCGAGAGGGAGGACGAGAAGATGGGCAGGGTGTACGGCAAGCACATGGACAGTGTGCTGCACGTTGGCGTGGTGGATGTGAGTTATAACGGGATGCTCTGGCTCCCTTTTAAAGAGGGAGTGAGAGGATGGGAGGATGGGAGGATGGGCAATGTGTACGGCAAGCACATGGACAGTGGGCTGCACGTTGGTTTGGTGGATGTGAGTGATGGACTGTTCTGGTGTTTTCTGACTCAGTTTTGGGTGGGTGCGTGCTGCTGTTGTGGTGGATGTGATGTGAGTGCTTCTTCTGAAAGTGGGAGGATGAGCAAGGCAAGATGGATGGCAAGATTGATGGCAAGATGGATGGCAAGATGGATGGCACGATTGATGGCAAGATTGATGGCAAGATTGATGGCAAGATTGATGGCAAGATTGATGGCAAGATTGATGGCAAGATTGATGGCAAGATTGATGGCAAGATTGATGGCAAGATTGATGGCAAGATTGATGGCAAGATTGATGGCAAGATTGATGGCAAGATTGATGGCAAGATTGATGGCAAGATTGATGGCAAGATTGATGGCAAGATTGATGGCAAGAACATGGGCATTGGGCTGCATGTGGGCATTGGGCTGCATGTGGGCGTGGTGGATGTGAGCGATGGGCTGTTCTGGCTCCCGTGGGAAAGAAGAGAGGATAAGTGGATGGGCAAGGTGCACGGCAAGCTGATGGGCAGTGGCCGGCCTGCATGTGGCCATGGTGGATGTGAGTGATAAGATAACAGGATAGGATGTTCAGGTTCAGGCGTCCCCATCATCAGCATGGTACTGTATCGTCTTTAATAGCAACAAAATGCTCTTCGCTTTTGTTTGTAACTGCAGGTGGACTGTCCTAATGGCAAGCCACAGGTGAAGGCAGAGGGGCAGCTTGTAACGAGTATGGACTCGGAGGCGTTCAAGCAGCGGCTGAGAGAGCATGTGGCCCGCGATGAGAACAAGGCGGTGCTTGTTTACGTGCATGGGTATGTGCTTGTTTACGTGCATGGGTATGTGCTTGTTTACGTGCATGGGTATGTGCTTGTTTACGTGCATGGGTGTGTATGCGGGGGGGGGATGAGCATGATATGTGCATGGGTATGTATGCAGGGGGGGGATGAGCATGATATGTGCATGGGTATGTATGCGGGGGGGGGATGAGCATGATATGTGCATGGGTATGCGGGGGGGGGATGAGCATGATATGTGCATGGGTATGTATGCGGGGGGGGGATGAGCATGATATGTGCATGGGTATGTATGCGGGGGGGGGATGAGCATGATATGTGCATGGGTATGTATGCGGGGGGGGGATGAGCATGATATGTGCATGGGTATGTATGCGGGGGGGGGATGAGCATGATATGTGCATGGGTATGTATGCGGGGGGGGGATGAGCATGATATGTGCATGGGTATCTGCAATGGGTATGTGCATGGGTATGTGTGTGCATGGTGTGTATGTGCATGGGTATGTGCATGGGTATGTGCATGGGTATGTGCATGGGTATGTGCATGGGTATGTTAATGCGGTATGCCTTAACACTCGTCTCTTGTTGTATCAAAGTTGTATGTAAGTCCAATTGTGGATCCTACACTATTTTCCTCCTTTTCTGCCTTACCCATTCCTCTCTGCACTGCACTTCCGTGTTGTGTTGTGATTCTTGCGTTTTGTTCTCCCTCCCGGCAGCTGCTTCACTGATTTCAGCCGGGGCATGGGCTACGGTGCATTCATGCAGGTACGAGCATGAGTCCCCCCCACCCGCCACTGTGTGTGTGTGCCCCACTGTGTGCCCCACTGTGTGGCCCACCGTGAAACCTGGTTTCCAGTGGTCCCATGGTTGTGTACAGCTGGCCCATGGCGGGGCGGCTGCTGGGCTGGGCTGGAGTGTTCGTTAGTGACTTACTTGTTCCGCCCAGCTCAGCCCAGCTCAGCCCAGCTCAGCCCAGCTCAGCCCAGCTCAGCCCAGCTCAGCCCAGCTGCTGGAGGCTGCTGGGCTGGACTGGAGCGATCACTTGTGACCCACATGTACCAGCTTCTAAGTGAATCTCCCCCTTTTTCAACCCCCCTCGCCTCGCCCCCCATCCAGTCTACATCAGCGAGGCTTGAACTTCCTGGTCCCATGGTGGTGTACTGTACAGTAAAGTTGGCCCACAGTGGGGCGGCTGCTGGATCACTGATATACCTGTATCACACCTTATTTTACCCTCGACCCCCCTCGCCTGACTTGCCCCATCTCTTGTCTGCATCAGCGCGGCCTGGAATTCAACGGACCCATGGTGGTGTACAGCTGGCCCACCGTGGGGCGGCCGTCCGTGTCGGTGGGGCTGGGTGTGATCAGCCTGTACCGCCAGGATGAGGTCACATGCATGCAGGCCGCTCCTGAACTCAGGGTGAGTGGGCTTTGTTTTCTGGACGAGGTTACGTTCAAGCCATATAGGTTCTTAGGGTTTTTCAGGTGTCTCAAGTCATGGCCATCTGCGTTGGTGGGGCTGGGGGGGGTTGAAAGGGGGCCTCCTGCACTCTTTTCCCTCCCATTTCCCCCCCTTCCCACAGGACCTGCATGCTCTCACACATTTAAATGCTCTCAATCGAGCTGAGAGCGAAAGCCGTGCATGTGATGCCATACAGCACGTGATTGAAGAAGTGCTTTGAGACGTCTCAAAACACATCAGCATGGGCGTGCTCGTACTCACTCATGCTTTGAGACGTCTCAAAACTTGATGCCATACAGCATGGGCGACGTGTAGAAAGTAGATTTTTGAGACGTCTCAAAAGCCGTGCATGTGATGCCATACAGCATGGGCGTGCTCGTACACACTCATGCCTGTCAGCAGTCTCACCCCACATCCCTTCCCTCCCATCCTCTTCCTCGCAAACCCACAGGATCTCCTCCAGATGCTGTCTAGAGAACTAGGAGCAAAGGCCGTGCATGTGTAGCGTACAGCATGGGCGCGCGCATGATCCCCAACCAACCCCCCCCTCATCCTTCGCTTTCCTGCCCACAGGACCCATTCATACCCCTTCCCCCTTCCTCGCTGCCCACAGGATTTGCTGCAGATGCTGTCTAGAGAAGTGGGAGCCAAGGCGGTGCATGTGATGGCATACAGCATGGGTGCGCGCACGCTACTAGAGGCCCTCCGCCTGTCCGCGCTCTCCCCGCCGCACCTGGACCCCTTCCACGCCCGCACCGGCGTCACCTCCCACATCTACTTCATGGCTCCTGACGTCGCTGCTCACTCCTTCTCCTCGGTCATAAGGAAATTCAAGTTTCCCGGGATTGCGTGGGAAGGGGAGACGGAGGAAAGTGAGAAGCTTGCTGGGAGAGCGTTGGAAACAGGGGCAGAGGAGGGGGAAACGGGTTTTGGCGCTTCAGATGCCAGCTCCCCTTTGACCTTTCTCCAGCCCGCCCGGCAAGTGAAGGCAGCACCTGTGGTGTTGCCATTGCCATCTTCCTCTGCACATTCCTCTGCACATTCCTCTGCACCTTCCTCTGCACCTTCCTCTGCACCTTCCTCTGCAACTTCCCCTGCACCTTCCTCTGCACCTTCCTCTGCACCTTCCTCTGCACCTTCCTTTACGCCTTCCTCCACATATGACTTAAATGCACACAGTCACGATTCCATGATAGAGAGGATCGCAGACGTGTGGAACGTGGCTGGGGAGAGCACGTCAGGCTGGGTAACGCTACGACAGGCTTGGCAGGAGGTTCGGGAAAAGGGGCTGATGGAGGTTTGGAGTGAGATATTCCACCCACCAGGCCTTGCCGAACCTGGTGGCCATGGGTCTGCCAAGGCTGTGCCAGGCCTTGGAGCCTCCGAACCAGAGAGTTTTGGAGGTGCATCCGAGCATGTTGTCCAAACCAGAGAAGCAGGAGGTAACGAGGCTGAGCATAGGTTGGGAAGAAGCAGGTCTGGCAGTGCTTCTAACTCATCTGAAGGGACAAGACAACATCCCCTCAAAGGTTCAAGCGTGCCTGAAGCAGCAGCTCATGAATCAGCAGCGAGAACAGGAGGAGCATTTGTCGATAGATCATTTGTTTCTACTGAAGGAGAGTGTGAAACGGGGAGATCTATGCCTGATGGTGGCCGCGGGCAAGAGAATCTTGCGTCAATATGTGTAGATTCTGTGTCTCGCAGTGTAGATCCTCAGTATAGCAGTCTAGAATCTAGGTCAAGAGAAGGTGTAGGTGTAGGTAGAGCTGCCATTCCGTTCCCAGGTGCAGAAAGGCCAACAGAATCAGCGGTCAGGCCACTGCTATCAGCAGCATCAGCAGGAGGAGGAGCAAGAGGAGCAGCAGCAGAAACAAATGGAGCAAGAGGAGCAGTAGCAGAAACAAATGGAGGAGATTGCAGCAGCACACAGCCAGCAGTGCGGGAGAACGCGCAGCCAGCAGTGCGGGAGAACGCGCACATACATCTGTTCACGGCGCGCAATGACATTGCTCTGCTGCTCTCCGAATTCATGGACGCCGGAATCCCCAAGGTACGCCAAGCAAGAAGCACCTTGCTCGCAAAGTATGGACGCGCAAAAGACATTTGTGTCTTTCTTCTTTTGTTTTGATTTTCTTTTTTTAGCATTCTCGGAATGCAATGCATACTCCAGCTTTTGGTCGACTCGAAGCTTATCCACATGCCGTGTTGGAGTTTTTTTTCCTACCACAAAATCGTGGAGATGGGTGCCATTCTTCCCCCATACTGTAGAAAGAAGTGTTTTGAGCCGTCTCAAAACACTTCTTTCTACTCGTGGAGATGGGTGCCATTCTTCCCCCATACTGCGGGCGGGTGGGTTTTGAGAATTCATTAGAACGACCTACAAAAAGATCGTGGAAACTCGCGCCATAATTCCCCGACTCTCAGGTGCGTGCAGGCAGTGGTTCAGACGACTTCCGTTTATGTTGTGGTGTCGTCTGAGCCACTGCCTGCCTTGGATGGGGCACAGAGCATTCGACACGGTGGTCCGGTGGATGTGCTGTGATGTGAAGACATGCTCTGTGTACCTTATTTTCCACGTGATAAAAGTGTAGTTTTGAGACGTCTCAAAAGACATGCTCTGTGTACCTTATTTTCCTGTGCCGCACGTTGCCGTTGCCCAGGAAAATCGTGGAGATGGGTGCCATTCTTATGTCCCCTATGTGCCATTCTTATTTCCCCTATGTGCAGGTGCGTGCAGGCAGCGCCTCAGACGACTTGTGTTTATGTTGTGGTGTGGGCACAGAGCATTCGACACGGTGAATGTGATTTTTTAGTCGACTCAAAAATCGCCTCAGACGACTTCTGTTTATGTTGTGGTGTGGGCACAGAGCATTCGACACGGTGAATGTGCTGTGATATGAAGACATGCTCTGTGTGCCTCCTTTTCTTGTGCCGCACGTTGCCCTTATGTACAGGTGCATGCAGGGCGAGGGTCTGATGACTTCCTCCTCTGTTGTGGACACAGGGCATTTGACACGGTAGACGTTAGTCTCCTCAACAGCAGGCTGCTCAGCACGGGGCACTTCTACCTCTTCCATTATGGCTTTCCCTCCTTCCCTTCTGCACCCCTCTTTCTTTTCTCCCCTACCGGTACCCTTACAGGTGCGTGCAGGGAGAGGTTCCGATGACTTTCTTCTGTGCTGCGGACACAAGGCATTTGATACAGTGGACGTCAGCAACCTCAACAGCGGGCTGCTGAGCACGGGGCACTTCTACCTCTTCCACCACATTGTGCGCCGCGACATGCGCCGCCAGATGCTGGGGCTTGGAAGACGAAGAGCAGAGGTGGCAGGGGCAGGAGATGCACGGGAGAACGGAGAGGCAGAGACAGGGGGAGACGGAGCAGGAGGGGCAGGAGGCGCAGAGGGAGGGAGAAGGGGAGGGGGCGGGGAAAACGAAGCGAGTGGGGGAGGGGGTGAGGAGGCGTGGTGGAGGGAGCATGCGGAGTGGAATCGGTACAAGTATGTGCGCCTCACTGCTTCCCGGCCAACTGCTGCTGCAAAACCGTCCAGCGGGCCTTCAGAACCTTCTGCTGCAGCTGCGAGCTCGTCATCCCCTGCAGCAGCACCTGCTGTACAATCTGCGGTACCATCCCCACCGCACCCACCACAATCAGCATCATCAGCAGCACCACTTGCCTCACCTCTTGAGCCGTGCTCAGCCTCGTATACTCCACGTTCGTTCTTCTTCCCTTGGGCTAGAGCTGAACCCGCCAGGCACAGCAGCGGCGGCGGAGGCAGCAGCACTCTCGATTTGACACCCACCAGGAGCAGCGGTCAGGCGGCTGCTAGCCACAACACTCTGGTATGTATGTCCGTCTATAGAGTCGACTCACTGCTAATTATAATGTTTTGGTTTGAGGGTACATACGACACCTACTGGCCTAGGAAAGAGCGCGCACAAAGTCTCCTCCTGTTTCATATGTGACTGTCTCCCTGTTTCATGCGCCCCTTCCCCCTGCACACAACACAGCCCCCTTGCAGATTGACTCTTCACCACTTACCTGGGCGTGTCCGTAAGCCGAGTACCATATGCATGGATTCTGGGGAGGGAGGGGAGGAGGAGGTTTCACGAATCCTTTGAAAGATTGCCAGTGTATCCAAACCAAGTAAATACGTTGAGAGGCCTAGTAAAGTGCAATCATACTGTAATCATTTAGCAGATAAGTCATTCAGTTAAATTTCTGTTTCTAGTGGTTTTAACGGATCCATGCATCACTTGTTGGTTACATCATTCTTGTGCCAAAATACAATTGAGAATGTGTGAACACAGAATAGCTCAAGCAGCCTTTGCAAAATATTCATTGTGGTATACTGTACTCTTGGGGAAGATATAATGTACACTGCTGCGCCCCTGAATCTAGCCACAGCTAAACAGACCAAAGAAGAAAATATGACGTCATTCTGTCCATCAAAACGGTTCTGTGCGATGCAGATGTCTCAGCACTTCCAGATGCCAAGCACCAACTTGGCACAGTGCTGCACCTGAAACCTGCACGATGATGTGCAACCACATTCAAGATCATGTTGGCCCTTAGAACACTTAGAAGTAAGCATGGTGGAGTGGAACCAGGGAGGAGTGGGGGGCTGGCGAGCGGCAGAGAGGACACTCGGGCTTCTCGTTGCACCACTCTGCTATGCACCCCCTGGGAGGAGCGGAGAGGCAGATGGAATGGAGGGAGAAAAGAGAGAGAAATTAGGTGGCGGTGGCATGGAACAAGGCACGTCGTGAGACGGGGGTGAGGAAAGGCAGAGCGGCAAAGAGGACACTCGGGCTTCTCGTTGCACCACTCTGCTATGCACCCCCTGGGAGGAGCGGGCGGTAGATGGGTGGGAAGGGTAAGGGAGAGAAATTAGGCTGAGATGGCATCGAACACGAGACGTCATGAGACGAGGGCGAGGAAAGGGAGGGTGGAGGAGAGGGCACTCGTGTTTCTCGTTGCACCACTCTGCTATGCACCCTCTGGCAGGAGTGGGAAGGAAGTTAAGGAGGAGGAGAGAGAGAAGGAGAGGGAGGACGAAGAAGAGACGATGATGAGCATTCGTTGTACTAGCAGAAGGGAGGGATGGCCATTAGGGCAGCAAGCCGGGTGGGTGGGGAGTAGAGCAACAGGCATACCAGCAGAAGATGTGGCCGCTGGGACAGCAGGTGCGGTGGTGGAGGGAAGAGTGGAAAACAAGATGGGAAGGTGGAAGAAAAGGAATAGAGCAAAAGGCATACCAGCAGAAGATGTGACCGCAGGGGCAGCAGGTGGGGTGGGAGCGAGACGCAAGGCACAGGGAGCACCGACCACTCGCCTCACTCCCTGCCTCTCCCTCTGCATCACCCTCTTGAGCCTCTCGAGACGCCTCCGTCTCCTCGCCCCACCCCTTGCTGGACTCAGGTGGAGCATCGGCAGCTGCCGGTGGGGCTGAGGATGGGTTTTGTATGGAGGGATGGGATGGGATGGGATGGGATGGGATGGGATGGGATGGGATGGGATGGGATAGGATGGGGCAAGGCACACAGAGCACCGACCACTGGCCTCACTCCCTGCCCTGCCTCCCCCTCCTCGTCACCCTCTTGAGACGCGTCCTCCTCTCCACCCCACCCGTTGCTGGACTCAGGTGGAGCATTGGCTGCTGTCGGTGCAGCTGAGGATAGGTGGAGAAGAAGAAGAGACGATGAGAAGCGTTGAGCATACCAGGGGACATGACACCGCAGGGGCAGCGGGTGGGGTGGGTGGGAGCGAGCAGCAAGGCACAGGGAGGGAGCATGCCCACCCCGTGCCTCGAGTCTTGCCAGGCCTCACCTGTGGTTGGCAATGGGGCTGTCAGTAACGGACAGGTGGGCTGCGGAGGTCTTACTTCCATCAACTCGTATGGTTCTTAGAACGACGAGACAAACCCCATGGAATGGATGAATGGAAGAAGCCTGGTTAACTATGAGCTAGAGCGTTTTCTTAGAGAGCCAGTCCGAACAAATCTTCAACTTCAAATCAGGGCGTTTGGGAGCGAGCAGCAAGGCACAGGGAGGGAGCATGCCTCACCCCGTGCCTCGAGTCATGTCACGCCTCACCTCGTGCCTCGCTCATACCATGCCTCAGCCCGTGCCTCGAGTCATGCCATGCCTCACCTGTGGTTGGCAATGGTAAGGTATGCGCCAGGGGCCTGTGTTGCAGCAGGGAGCGGCGAAGCCAATCAGAGGAGAGAATGGTGAGCTGGATGAAGAGGAAGAAGGCGAGCATGTGGTACCTGCCGTGTGGGGGGCGGAGATGGGATGGGGGGGCATGGGTGAAGGATATGTGTCAAGTGCGCATGGAGGGAATGTGGGTGGGAAGGGAGGATGGCGAGCTGGATGAAGAGGAAGAATGCGAGCATGTGGTACCTGCCGTGTGGGGGGCGGAGATGGGATGGCATGGGATGGATGGGGGGAGGCACGGATGGGGACATGGGAAGGACGTGGGGTGGCAAGGGAAGGACATGGGGTGGCATGGGAAGGACATGGGGTGGCATGGGAAGGACATGGGGTGGCAAGGGAAGGACATGGGGTGGCATGGGAAGGACATGGGGTGGCATGGGAAGGACATGAGGTGGCATGGGAAGGACATGGGGTGGCATGGGAAGGACATGGGGTGGCATGGGAAGGACATGGGGTGGCAAGGGAAGGACATGGGGTGGCATGGGAAGGACATGGGGTGGCATGGGAAGGACATGGGGTGGCATGGGAAGGGCGTGGGGTGGCATGGGAAGGGCGTGGGGTGGCATGGGAAGGGCGTGGGGTGGCATAGGAAGGACGTGGGATGGCATGGGAAGGACGTGGGGTGGCAGGGGAAGGACATGGGGTGGCAAGGGAAGGACATGGGGTGGCATGGGAGCATGTCGAGTTGGATGAAGAGGAAAATTCGTCGCTATTTCTGTTCCAAAACGCCAATAACACGAACCTGGGGGAATAAGCAGGTGGCTGGGCTGCGTAGATATACCGAACGCCTGTCACCCTCTTTGCTACATGCAGGTACGACCCGTGCCAGTAGAAGAGCAGCAGATGCGCCCTCCCCAGCAGCATCAACACATCCCCCCCTCGTGCTGCCACCCCCGCCCACACCACCAGCGCCCTCCTCCCCATCTCCCTCACTCTCTCCCTCACTCGCTCCCTCGCACGGCCCACCCAGTGCCTCCCTGCCGCCACAGCTGCCACCCATCCCAACCCCCTCCCACCGCTCACACTTGCTGCGTCCACACCTCCTCTCTCTATTGCGCCCCCCTCTCTCCCGCTGGGGCCGCCTGTTGTTCCCCCTGTCCCTCTCCCCACTGCTCCGCTCCCCACTGCTCCCCCATCCCTTGTTCCCCCCTCCCGTGCTGCCCCTTCCACTGCTCGCCCCTCGCTTGCTGCTTCTCCCCACTCTTCTGCTGCTGCGAGCGCCCTTCCCCGGGCAGCAGCGCGGGCGCTGATGTGAGCTGCAACGGCAGGGAGGAGGCAGTGGAGCAGCACGAGAGAGAGGCGGCGCGCTGGCGTGGGAGGGAGATTGTAGCCGCCTGATACCTGGGAGAGTGGGAACGGGAGGATGGATGTGAAAAAGGGGTCAGCAGCGCGGGTGCTGATGTGAGCTGCTACAGCCGGGAGCAGGGCGTGCAGCAGCACGAGCGAGAGGCGGCGCGCTGGTGTAAGGGGGGAGATTCTGAAGTATGAAGGGGAGGGGGGGATACCTGCATTATGTCGCAATACTCCTCCCCTAAAGTCCTGCTGCCAGTGTGTGTGTGCGGGGGAAAGGGTGGGGGAGAACGATAATAAAGTCTATCAGGATAGTTATTACCACGAGGAACAGTACCAAGGGAGGGAGGAATGCCTGCAGTATGTCGCAGTAATCTTCCCCTAGAGTCCACTTTTGAGGCGCCTCAAAAGAGAGACATCACCTCACCTGCACTATGTCGCAATACTCCTCCCCTAGAGTCCTGCTGCCGGCGCCGGTGGTCACGAGGTAATAAAGACACCGCGCCGCCACGCGGATCGGGCCGCCCCATTGGCCCGCGACGCGGTGGCCGAGCTGCGAGCCAATGGCGTCGTGGCACATGTCGCCCAGGGACGCCGCGTACAGCTCGTCCTTCTCCGCGGCGCGCATCACCTCCGGCTGCGCCGCCGGCGGAAACTGCACGCCGGGGGAAACGGCCAGCGGAGAAGCCGCCGGCGGTGCATCGGGCCGCCTACTGCTGACATTATGCGCTGCCGAAGCAGACATGCTTTATCCCTCACGCTCCTAGCTTCTTACGGAGACTCAGAAACCAAAGGGAGAATTTAGGCTGAGTACAGCGTGCTGGAGTCCCGAGAGGTCTCTTCGTGGATTCTTGAGGCGCCTCAAAAAGCGTGCTGGAGATCCTAGAGGTCTCTTTGTGGATTCGAGACTCGAAATAGTATTGTTCGGCTGCTGTGACTGGTATGCCTGCTAGCCAGAATGAATGACTAAGATACTGCGATTCGGCTGCCCTAGACATTTGAAAAAGTTCTACAATATGCTTGGTTGTAAATACGCGATTTTGGTGCTCCCGGGATCGCTATATTGGCAGCAGAACTAACTGATGTATTCTGTACTTAGAAACAGCGTAATTAAATAATATATATATTACCGTATCACCCCGGATATAAGCGCAGGTGCGCTTATCATAAAACATTGAATTTTAGGGGGGTGCGCTTATAAACGAGTAACGGGCATAAGCACATGTGGTTGTAATAAGAAAAAAAATAAGCTGACTTTAAATTATACCAAATTGAAGCCCACTGTAAGGTGAATGCAGCCGACCATGCATCACGTGGGGTCGTGCATGAATTCAAGGCGAAAACAGCAACGCACCTCGGTTTCCCACCCCACACTTTTGTCTAGAAGCATCGCACCTGCCAGCGATGACGCGAATCTTGCCGTGCGGCCCAATCACATCGCCCTGTGCTGCGTGGCATGCGAATTTCATCCGAACCCTCTCGAAGGGTGCGGAAGATTCCCTGCCAGCGCAGTGATTATGCTGCCACGCAGGGTCCTCTGCAGGTTCATGCGGGGATTTCCCGCCTGCACCTGACAAGGACCCCGAGCCGCAAAATCAGCTCTAGCCCGCCTGGTTGGCGAAGCAATGGCGGAATTCTATGGGACACACTTCCTTTTTAAGAAGAACCCGAGACGCGCGTGGCGATTAACCGACGACGGGAGGTATACCCGTGAACCTCCTGATCCTCCTTACCCACCCGTGCCTCCTTCGCCGCCTGCTCCCCCTGCTCCTCCTGCTCCACCTGCTCCACCTGCTCCTCCCGCCCCTCCCGCCCCTCCTGCTCCTCCGAATCCGCCCGCTCCTTTTACGAGTACCGGTTCTCCTTACGCGGGCAAACGGCCCGTGCTCCAGCTCTTGCTACCAGCGACGTTCGACGAGTGGCTGTCTGAGCCGGAGGCCAACAAGCCCGTCGATGTATATGTTGAAGCATCGCCGCCGGCACCACGTTGGGGACAGCTCGACGAATGCGCGTGGGACGAGTCGACTGTGGGCGCCGACGACGATGTACCCGCCGACGAGCAGCCACATGGCGACGGCAAACCTGGTGGCGACGGTGAAACGGGCAGCGAGGCTGGCACAGAGGCGGACGTCTTCCCAGAGAGCGTTTCCAGCGCTGTGAACGACGGCGTTGAGACTTGGTGGCGCGAGGCCCCGCACGAGAAAATGCCGATTCCTACATATCCTCCGATTAACAGAAAACGTCCCCACCTCTCTGTTGAGAACCGAGATGGCCGCCCCCCCTCCCCCAGGCATAAACCGACACAAAATAAGCGTGCCTCGTACACCGCCCAGGAGATGCTAAAGTGGCTCGTGCGCTTGGAGGTTGCAGCATCGATTAGCGAGGCGGCGCGGGATTCCGGCATCCACTGCAAGTGCTTGACGGAGTGGAAGCAGCAGGCGCAGGAGCTGAAGGACGCCCACAGCGCACGGAAGCAAATGCATGGATGCGGACGATCCTCATGATACCGTCCGATGGAGATGAAGATCTACGCGCAGCTCCTCGACTGGCGGCGCCGTGGTCTTGCTGTTTCGGTGGGCCGTCTTCAAGATTGGTAGCATGAGGTGATGAAAGTCCTCTTCCCAGAAGTAAAGTGGAAAGGCAGCCAACGATGGTCCGAATGCTTCTGCAAGCGCTGGAATCTAACCGTGCGCATGAAAACCAAGGTGGCGCAGAAAACACAGCGTAAGTGCCATGCACCGTCTTTGAAATTCATGGAATTCGTTCGGTGTTCATGTTGTGTTTGCGTCCCCTGTCTGTAAGCTGCAGTAACTAATTCGCCCTTCCGCCTTGGCCATTGATCCTCTTGCGCAGGCGTCGTGAAACAGTGCAACGAGTTCTGGACGTTAGTTCGGGAAGCACGGCATGACCATGAGATCGACAGTCGCTGCATAATCAACGCCGACCAGAGACCACTGTGGCTGGAGATGCCGGCGACAACCACAGTGGAGCAGACGGGCGTGAAGTTGGTGCCCATCCGCAGCGGCGGGTACCAGAAAGAACGCGCCACCGTGATGCTGGCGTGCACGGCATCGGGGGAGAAGCTGAAGCCGTGGGTGTTCTTCAAGCGCAAGACAGTGCCAAAGGGTGACTTCCCGAGTGGTAAGGACGTAGATGTGTTGTGTGTGCATTTAGTGTTTGCCTCTACCCCACTAACGACCGTTCCTTTTTCCGCAGATGTTGTGGTCGCGTTCAAGAGAACGAATGGATGGCGGCGGAGAACGTCATCGAGTGGCTCGACAAGGCGGTAGCGCCTTTTATCAAGCCGAAGTTTGGCGTGCAGGGGCGAAGCGCTTTGCTCGTCCTCGACTCCTATCGAGGTCACCTTACGAAGGAAGGCAAGAATAAGTTCGCAGAGTACAAAATCGTCCCCGCAGTCATCCCGACGGGATGCACGGCAGAGGTGCAGCCGCTCGATGTGGCCATCAACCAAAGCTTCAAGGCATCGGTGCGGCAGCAGTACCATAACGGGTTCGAGCAAGAGGGCATGAACACATTGACCGTGGCAAGTGAGCATCACATTGTCTTCACCAGCCATGACTTCCAATGTTTGTCCCATCGCAATGTTCTAACCTCATCTCCTCTTCTGTTTAATCGTCGTGCATGCAACATCAAGAAACCGCCTCTGGCAGTCGTTCTCAAGTGGGTTTCCAAGGCCTGGAGGGCCGTGCCCGCGGAGCTCATCAAGAAGGCATTTCTGACGTGCGGCATGTCATAACATTATAGCTTTTACATTTGTGTAGGCTGTAGTGGGGTAGCCCATAAAGGGGTACAAACCAATTAGGGTTAGTACTTGTACCCAACTGTTTGCTAGTTCATTCATCCTCGTTCGCTATTTTCACATGGAATCAGAGCAGGTTACTTGGGCCCACCACCTGCTACGCTGCGAGTACCCCCCTAGGCCCGTCGCTCCTAGCCTTCGCGACCCGTCGGCCCCTAGCCCCGCGCCCGGCCCCGTTTCCTAGCCCGCGCCCGGCCCGTACCTACCCCGCGCCCGGCCCGTCTCTCGCCCGCGCCTGGCCCGTACCTAGCCCGCGCCCGGCCCCGTCTCACGCCCGCGCCCGGCCCGTACCTAGCCTGCGATCGGCCCGTACCCAGCCCGCGACCCGCCCGTCCCTAGTCCGTGCCCGGCCCGTACCTAGCCCGCGATCGGCCCGTACCAGGCCCGCGATAGGCCCGTTCCTAGCCCCGCGCCCGGCCCGTCTCTCGCCCGCGCCCGGCCCGCACCTAGCCCGCGCCCGGCCCCTTCTCACGCCCGCGCCCGGCCCGTACCTAGCCCGCGATCGGCACGTACCTAGCCCGCGACCCGCCCGTCCCTAGTCCGCGCCCGGCCCCGTCTCTCGCCCGCGCCCGGCCCGTACCTAGCCCGCGACCGGCCCGTACCTAGCCCGCGCCCGGCCCGTACCTAGCCCGCGCCCGGCCCCGTCTCTTGCCTGCGCCCGGCCCGTACCTAGCCCGCGACCGGCCCGTACCTAGCCCGCGCCCGGCCCGTACCTAGCCCGCGCCCGGCCCCGTCTCACGCCCGCGCCCGGCCCATACCTAGCCCCGCCCGGCCCTGTACCTAGCCCAGCGCCCGGCCCCGACCCTAGCCCGTGCCCGGCCCCGCTCCTCGCCCAGCGCCCGGCTCCATCCCTCGCCCGGCCCCGTACCTAGCCCAGCGCCCGGCCCCGCCCCTCGCCCAGCGCCTAGCCCCGTCCCTTGCCTAGCGCCCGGCCCCGTACCTAGCCCGCGCCCGGCCCGGTCCCTAGCCCCGCTCGGCCCCGTACCTAGCCCAGCGCCCGGCCCCGACCCTAGCCAGCGCCCGGCCCCGCCCCTCGCCCAGCGCCCGACCCCGACCCTACCCCGCGCCCGGCCCCGCCCCTCGCCCAGCACTCGGCCCCGTACCTAGCCCAGCGCCCGGGCCCCATACCTAGCCCAACGCCCGGCCCGGTACCTAACTATTGCTACGGCCCGGTACTGTCACTAGTGCTACTACTACAGCTGCTACTGCTGCTACTACTGCTATCCTGCATGCTGCACAGCTATGGCTTCACTTCGGGTTCTCGCGTTTGATCATGAGGGCAGACCAGTTCAGTTTGACACGTGGCTAGACGACCTGCGGCTGTACCTACTGAGCGATTCTAAGCACAGTGTCTCCCTGTTTGACCTAGCGTCAAGCGCCGCTACTGCCCCTCCTGCCACAGCTGACAGTTCGACTCACTCACAGTGGCTTACTCGTGACGCTGCTGCCCGCTTAGCCATTCGCAACCACCTGCCATTAGCTGAATGCACTCACTTCGGACAGCACAGGACAGCGCAGGCACTGTACGACGCTGTAGTCGCTCGCTACTCCTCCCCTGCCACTGCTGCTCTAGGCCGCCTTCTTCTGCCCTAACTGTTCCCTGAGCTGTCCGCTTTCGCCACAGTCGAGAACCTTGTTTCCCACCTTCACGCTAGTGACGCTCACTACCGCGCTGAGTTCCTTGACAGGAACCCGCCCCCGATGTACATCACTCTCTACTTTATAGTCACCCGCCTCCTTGACTCTCTTCGCTCTGTCAGGGACCACTTCCTCTCTCTTGACCCCACCTCCCTCACTGTTGACCTCCTCGAGCAGCATCTCCTCGCAGCTGAGACTAGTGCATTTGCTGTAGGTGCTGCTCGTGGCACTCCGCGCCCGCCCTTCTTTGAGGGGTGTTCCCCCTCCCCCCTTGCCCCCTCCTACGC